GGAAGAATCAGCAAGCAGGATACCAGTGCATAACTTGCTTCACATCTGCCAGTTTTTATTGGGCAATGCCTTCCAAAACCCCCTTCCTCCTGATTCAGGCTTGTTTCTGATCTCTGACCATAGTTTGCGAGATGGGTGGTAGTGGTGAAAGGGTAGAAGCGGCTGCTGGAGGAAAACAGTGGGTGGAGAAACATTTCAGCTACCTTGCCTTCCTGCTGATTCTCTGCAGCAGTTCCCCCCATCACCCCTGGATAAGCCTCAGGAGGAAACCCCCAGGCTGGAATCTTGGGTTTGCCTTGTAATGCGTAGTTCCACCCTGATGCTTCACAAAGTCCATGTTTTCCCAGGAACGCCCATCCTTTTCTCTCTTTTGAATTGCCACACAGGATCAAACAATCGCTCCATGGAACACACCCAGTTGCACAGTTCTAAATGGGGGAAGGAGGGTCCACACAATTTCGTTCAGCAGATGCACCCCATATTGGTTAGACAAGAAGAAAATAAGTGTCCCTGTGCAAGTTGCACAAGTTTATCACAGGACGTACAGCCATCACCTTCGAATGGATAATAATTTGGATATTTGGCTTGCTTTTGTTGAAGCTTTGTCTGCTTGCTCCAAAGATAGATATGTTTCCTATCGTTAATGGACTGGCCATTTGCTGGATTGACCTTCCCGAAGTCATCCTCTCTTAGCCTTATTGCCCATTGGGAAATGGGAGCCACCATGCCCTGCTCTTAGTTCCTATAAAGCTCCATTTGGTAAAAAGGAATCTGATTATTAAGCTTAGCTACAACTGGATAGATCAGGATTCATGATAAGGAGTGCATTAATACAACAGTTCCAATGAGGGAACTTTGGTTGTGCGTCAACTGATGACTCTCCAAAAGCTGTGCTGTAAGGTGCTAAGAGAGTTCCCTGACATGGTCTGCCTCTGTTCTAATTTAAAAGCCTTGAAGCCAATGCAGTGTGCCAGGAGCAAGTTTCTAAGTAAAAAGTAAAATTAAATAATAAACATTAAAATGCCAGTACCCCCTTCATGCATTCTCACATAGGGTATCTCGTTGCTTGTTAATGAAAAAGGTGTTTATCTTTGTTCACACTACATAAACAAGGTCAGTTTTGTTTCCAACATATGTGAATACAATTCTGCAACTGAATTAACTCCTGATGCAAAGTTACACGTTTCTGCCAGCTAATCACATTTTTATCTCACTGCACATAGACAAGATGGCAATGAAATTAGCTGTAAGTTTGCATATTTTCAAAATGTCTTTAAGCCCTGGAAAAAGTTCAATAGGTGGTCAGGTGAAGATTTGGGGGATAAATATAGCAGCTTCTCACAGTAAACTGTTCATTTTCCCGGTTTGTCACCGTTTTTGTTTTCCTCTAATGTGTGATATAATGAAATGTTTGATGCCTCTGTATCTTCCACATGATAAACTGATCTTTCTAAGAGAAAGGGTTATTTATCAAGGACTTACAGAGCCATTCTGCAGTAACTTATCTGCTGAGAGAAATATATAATTGATGGTTATTTCAATTGACTCAAATTTGGTCCAGCAAGTGTCCTACACTGCTGTTTCCATGGAACACAAAACTAAGAACAAAACAGAGTAGAGCAAAGCATTTAATCTGTAGGCAGAGGGCTGAGTTTAGAAGAACTGGGTTGTTTCTATCTGTGCAACCTGCTCAGTGTATGGATAAACTATCATCTCTCAGCCTCAGCTGCAAAATAGAAATAACTTGGACCCACCTCAATACAATATAACACACTGAAATTTAATCTGTTTGTCTCCCTAATATATACACATGGTAAACAGCAAGAGGTAAAGGCACTTATGTGTACCTAAACAGAAAAGCGAATATTCTCCAGCCTGAATGAACTTGGATTATTCCCTGGGGGATAAATACATGTTTTCCAGGCCCCTGAGAATATCTGCTCTTCTGTGTTTTGGTATAAACACCCACATAACAACACTGTAGAGTACCTTCACAACAGGGGCAGGGTGTCCAGACCCAATGTTCTGGATCTGCAGAGAACAATCGTCTATTTGGAAGGCCATCAATCATAATCCAGTTTATCAAATGTATCCTTAGAAGAGGACCAGAGCAAAGATCTGAAGGGAGTTACCCATCCACAGTTAGCACTTCGATAGCAGCCAGATAGATGCATGGGTCACCTGGCCATGGTCTCGCCTACCCAAGTGAAAAGTATTGCATTTCAATTTAAATCTGAGCAATGATTTCAAAGCATTCAACCATAAATGAGCATACACACTTTTTTGCAAACAGGTACTCTCATTCTGGGGCAATGCATTTTCGTTATCTACCTCTCTCTTGGCAAAATGCAGGTGACTACCTGTTTACTCATTTATTTATTTATTTATGTATTTTATTTATATGCCTCCTTCTATTCTTTCAAGGAGCTCAAGGTGGCTTATTTAATTCTCCTGCTCCTCTCAACATTATCCTTCCAACAACACCCCTGTTGGACTGAGAGTCCGTGACTGGCCCAAAGTCATCCAGCTGGCTCCATGGCGGAGTGAGGACTAGAACCCAGGTTGCCCGAGTCAAAGCCCTGCCCCACACCGACTCTCCAAACCCTCTACAAAAGCAATGAATACATGAGAACAGGCTACAAAAAGATGCAGGTATTGTAAGAAATACAGGACTATGGACTACATGTGTCCACCATGACCCCAACTTAAATGATGCCCCCCGAGCCCCTGAATTTGCTGCTGGTGGCAAATTTCTCCCTCAAGCAGCAAGGTCATCGTTTAGCTTTCAGGACTTGTTTTGAAGCTAAATCTCTCCATCATGAAACTGGGCAGCAAATTCTAGATTCTTCTGCAGCTGCCATGACTGAAATTCAGGAGGGCTGTGGGGATTTGACCCCCTGAGGAGTTTCAAAAAGTGAAATTGGCCCCTACAGTCTCCCAAAGTCAACTACTCCTGACCTAGAAATATATCCTGAAAATTCACGTCTTTGTCTAAGCTTGTAGTCATTTTTCAGACACTTCAGCAACCTATAGGACCAAAGCTGGGCAGTTATGTTCTATCATAGGCCCTGGTTTAATCATCTGAACAGGAATAAATGATGCAGGAATAGGGAAAGACATAGCCAGGTGCAGGAATTTCCCTCCTTCTCCAAATACTCCTTCCTCATGCTAGGATCTCAGATCTTCCCTCATGGTACCCACACAGATTCACTGCTGGTACATGAAGCATTTATCCCATCCTGCTAGCAGAACAGCTATCACTGATGTAACGGCTAAATGTTTGACTCTAGACTTTCCCATCTGTGTTTTACTTCCCCAGAGGGCAAATATACCAAGCAGCAATCCCCTTGCTTGGCACATAATCTCTAAACCTTACAGGCAATGGTAGCGATTTCCCAGTCCAGGCAGATTGACAGTTGAGATGACTTGTTTGACATATTGTAGGGAGAGAAACACTTACCTTATTAAAGGACTGCCCTCCAAAGCACAGTGCAGTTAAATAAACTGTTGTCACTGTAATTGTTTAGCAAGCATACTGCTGATAATATTATGAATTGCCGCTAATGTCTGGTTAGCAAATGAATACAGGAGTATCATTTGGTGTTAATTCCAATGAGTTTCCTGAAGTTAAGCATATGAAGAGGGATTAGTTTCCTTAGAACAGAATATGCCTAACAAGAATAACTGAATCGCACACAGCACTGAAGAATCCAAGTGACACACAGGGAGCATTTTGTCCATAAGAGAACTTGTTTGCTAAACCATGAGCTCCAGTGAACTGGCCTAGAGGCTTTAAAATTATTTTGCACAAATAATTATTGTGGAATTAGGCAGCTTTACCCTAGGCCCTCTTATGCCCCCTCACGGAGACTTATCTTTGTTTTTCTTAGAAGTCCACTTTTCTAAGAACCATGAGGACGCTGTCATCCTAATGTTTATTAATAACACCTTAATAAATTAGTAATAAACCGTAATTGATAGCAGCTTTTATCAACTTGGCTAGATTGTCATCAGAGGGTTCTCCATAGCAAAGATTTAAATGTTTCATTTTATTTTTAACTTTCCCTTTTCTCTATTTCAGTAATGTCAGGCAAAGAGGTATGGCTTTACTATGTGAACGAATGATGGTGTAGAATAATTTATGACTTAGGCTCAGGCTTTCAGAAAAGCTATTTCAAATCTTCACTTTGATTTGGATGTATCAAAAACTACTCAAAATAACAGCAGAGGCTCTGGCAAAAAGAATGTGTTTACTGCACCTCAAGGAGAGCGCGATATACTCCACACCCCAACTACAAGTTATCTGCCAAGAAAGCCCACTTTTACAGGCTGCAGCAATTAACTCCATTTGCATAAGGCTGATTGTGCTATCCAAGGTTTCCCTGAATTTAGACAAGTGCATGCACAGGAAGCAGAACTAATCTACACAGCTTTTGAGGACCAAGTAAAAGCAATCCCGGCAAGAAGTCCCTGCTAAGAGTCTTTAGCAGGTGCACAGTCTGTATGTTTTCAAACCATTTCCTGGGTCACAGAGGACTAGTGACCCTATTACCAAATAAAAGCTGCAGTTCTCTGGACACCAATATCTGCATGGTGATTCAGAACTCATTAGATGTCCCGTTCAGCAGGCACAGTCACCACCAAGGATAGTTTGAAGTGAACAGCTCCTATCCAACGTTGGCCTTCATGCCTTCCATTCTAAGGAAAGGCAGCTGGCATTCTGCCCACGGTGGCATTCAAGCTCCTTGCCTGGTCCCCTTCCCATATCCGGCTTTAACCCTTGCATTCATGCCTCCAACCCATTCCGCCCAGCCAACTACTCCAGCCCTTTTTTTAAAAGGATGCTGAACTTCCCAGTCACTTTCGAACTGTCTGGTGGATGGATGACTCTGCACTGAGGAGGTCCCTGAAAGGAGTGTTGTTAGGCACACGCTACAGGGCTTGGTATGGAAGAGGGGAAGAGGGAGGGGAGCGCAGTAAAAGATGCGAGTAGATCTTAC